CCTTATTTTTAGCCACCTCAGCTGCCATTACTTCAATCTGACTTTCATAGGATTTGATAGCTTCATTTACAGCTTCAAGCTGTTGCTTGTAAGAGGTATGTTCTCTCTTGAGCTCTTCCAGTTCCAGAGTGATAGCTTCAACTTCCTATAAAAAACACAGTACTTGCGTATTCACACGGGTTATTGACTACTAAAAAGCAAATATGTACAGGAAAATTAAATTAGTAATACTCTTATACAAGTAAGACCCACAGCTTTGTTACTACTCTGCTACCAAAGGTACAGGTTAAGCTGCTTTCCCAGGAAGAGGAAGTTTATTTTCCTATATTAAAAAGACAAAAGTATGAGTAATTTTTATAAGTTCAAAGAACTCTGCATAAATTATTTCCTTTATCTTTATTCCTACAGGGAAAACAATGTAAAATTCTATGTAACAGATGAATTAGTGGAAATAAAGCTTTTTTAAAAACAAAATTGTTCAATGTGTAAAAAGTTTTTCAATATTCTTCTTTCCCACTATAGCCTTCAGTTCATTACAACAGCAGTCCCCAACCTTTTTGGCACCAGGGACCAGATTTGTGGAAGATGATTTTTCCATATGGCAGGAGCAGGCAGAGAATATGGTTTTGGGATAAAACCACCCCATCTCCGATCATCAGGCATTAGATTCTCATAAGGAATGAGCAACCTCGATCCCTTCCTTGCATGCACAGTTCTCAAAAGGGTCTACACTCCTATGAGAATCTAATGTCGCTGATCTGACAGGAGGTAGAGCTCAGGTGGTAATCCTCATTCACCACACATCTCACCCTGTTATTGGTCTGTGGCCTGGTGGCTGGGGACCCCTGCATTAGAAAAATATTTTGTGAAGCTATTTAATGACAAGAATCTTAGAGTGGGCTAAAAAAAAAAAATGTGAGGAAAACATATTTAGGTGAAATTGCATAAAACAGTGATTACGAGTAGCCTCTGGAGAAAAAAACCTACGTTCAAATTCCAGCTTTGTCATTATCTAAAAGATAAAGTATCATCAGTTTACAACTGAACAACACTTTGTAAATATAACATGCTTTGTCTTACATCATGCTCTTACAGTGCACATTCAATTAGGTGCTTACCAAATAAAAATGTCAACTTGCTGAATCTCTGATATGACATCTATAACATCAAATAATCCACTCCTGAAGAAAGGCCATCCACTCTTGAAGGAAGCATTTACCAACTGTCAACTTTGCCCTTTCCTTAAAATTAGCATTCCCTACTCACAACTATGAAACACTCAACTGCAGGGTTTTCAGAGAAAAATACGGATTAAATATCCCTTATTCAAAATGCATAGGACCGGAAGTGTTTCAGACTTCAGAGTTTTTATTTTGGAATATTTGCATTACACTGACTAGTTGAGTATTCCAAATCCAATCTGCTCCAATGTGCATTTCCTTTGAGCCTCAGGGTAACACTCAAAAAGTTTCTAACTGCTGTATTTCGGATTTGAGATGCTCATACTGTGTATTCCTTTGACTTTTAAGAAGCATAATTTGTTTCCAAAGAAGGCTGCTTCCTTTTAGATTTTGAAATTAATTCTGAGGAATAAGGTCAACCAATGATCCTCTACCACTGTCAGCTCTATGTTGACTTTAAAAGGTTGGTTCAATTTCAAAAGGAAGTTATTACCTGCTGTTTTTCTTTCATTTTCTTGCTAGATGCATCTGCCTTTGTTTTGGCACAATCCAGTTTCTTTTGAGCATCCTTCAGTTCTCGCTCTCTCTCAGCTTCTGCATTTTTCATTTTATTCTCCAGTACTTCATATTTTTCTTCTGCTTTTTTCTGGATTTCTTTAGTGTTTTTCAAAGTCTCCTCACTTTCCTCTGCATCAAAAAGTAGGCAAATGTGGCTAAATTAACATTAATAGGTGAAGGTTTACAAATTCAAGTTTTAATAGAAGAAAAGGTTTGGAAAATTACAGGCTAGAATTTAATTAATGATCCCAATGATATTCTAGAAATGGTATAATGAAACACAGATCCTACCTAAAAGCCATACTTGAATATTCTAAAGATGTGTAACAGAATAATTTTGCTTTGAAATTAAACTTTACCTACAACTTTCCTTTTACAAAGGTATTGAAGCAACTTATTTAAAAAAGAAAAAAAATCACAGATCCTATTTTTAACACATTTATATGCTTCCTAAAACCAGAACAGTCTAACTATGGTGTTTTTCCTATAGTTGCCAGAAAGAGTATAATTGCATAAACAAGCTTACTTTGTGTTCTTTGCCTGTTTTATTCAGGGAACTTCTCATTACAGTTGACAAATAATGTAACAGTATGTCTAGGATACAGCAAAGGAAGAATATCCACAAATTTGTGAAAGAAAAAAAAAAAAGAGCAATACTGAATGAACACGTTGCTGTAACAACTGATGTATATTGTGAGTGTTAGGACCCAGGTGCAAATATAACCTCGGAAGTCATTACTGAACAATTTCTTACGCTACTTTTCGTTGCAGAAAATATTATTAAAATATTAATGGAGAAGCAGGTGTGTGGATATTGCCTTAATGAATGACAAAAATTAAAACTACCATATACAATTAAATACTAAGGAAAACATAAAAGCTGTCTTCTTAAAATGAACATTAAAAATTTTTGTGTAACAAAAATACTATAAATACAAACACAACTAAGAGACCAGTACATAAGTCAAAAAAGATACTAGTAGAATATCTGCAATGCAATAACCTACAAGAAACTAGGACTCTTAAGAATGAGAACAATGGGAAAAAAATCATGAACAACCCATGAGCAAAAGAAATAAATAGAAAATTCACAGAAGTAGAAACCCAAAGGTCCAACGAACATACAAAAAAGATCTCAAATTTCATCAGCCATTAGAGAAATGCAAATTAAATGCGAATGTATGCTATCTTTTCACAACCAGCAAATTTGGAAAATTTTAAAAGTCTGGAGAGAAAGGAACTTGGAGAAATGAAAACTTTCATATGCCACTAATGGAAATAATATTGGTTAAAAAAGAATGAATACTGGTAAAAATAAACAGACCTTTGACAATATATAATAAAGATGAAAATGACTATACCTGAAGACCTAGAAATCCCATAATTGGATCTCCCCTAAAGAAACTTTATCATATGTGTCTTAAACATAACACAGGTATAGATGATACCTAAAGTAAGGTAAAAGGAATAAAACCAGAGATTAAGCATGGGCTGTTTTCATCTTACCAATGGTTTTTTTAAGGGCATCTAATTCTTCTTGTTGCTTGTGATAGGAGCTTTGCTGGAGCTTGGTTTGTAATAAATCGGCCTCTTCAGTTTTCATCTCCCACTGCTGTTTTAGTTGACGATACCTTACAAAACCAGAAACATGTAAGAAATGACTGTAATGTTTCTGGTAATTGAGAAATACATTCAAACTTCAGACTCTTACCTAAAATAAACTCACATACATTATAAACAATCTAAGATACTACTGGTTACAGGAATAATTTTGATGACTTTCAAGTTTCTGAGGCGCCAATTCAAATTTAGATATGGTCACTGAAGGTAAACAACTCTAACTGACCAAAATCCATAATAACTATTCATAGAAAACACTAAAAATTTTTAATAGCTAGGTTTCCTTAAAAATAATCTCTTGCTAACTAAATCAAAACAAAACACATCAACTACTCGCCACGAAAAATGGATGAATTACAACAAATAAAATTTCAAAAATTTAGTTATCTATTTATTAACCTCATTTTCTAACGTTAAAAATGACAATAATGTTCCCTATTTTCAGTGTAAGAAAATAGTTTGGAACTTAGTTGTTTAAAACACACTTTCTTGAAAACTTTGTAATTCTATCCCAGTTCTTGGCTGCTTAGTCACTTCTTTGAAAGGTATTTAGCAAATTCAGTGGCAGTGAAATTTCAAGTTAATATAAATTCACAAAGTACCTTGTCACTGGAAATTCATGTTTGGGGGAAAAAAGGACAAAACTTATAAAATATAAATACTACCTTGAATTTTCTTGCCTGAAGCTGTACTTCACAGTACTTAATAATTTTAACTTCAAGTTGATTTAAAAATGTGGAGTGTAGAAATATTTTTTAAAAAAGATATTACTTTCCTGACATGATGTGAAACAATGGCTTTAGCTGATCCTTCCACCATTCTCATATTTTTCAAAATCTATTTTCCTTCCTTGACCTCAGTGTCACAATTAGCAAGGAAGCCAATTCTGCGGAATAAATGATCCAATACTACTGAACAAAATTAACAGTTCTAAGCCGAAATGTTGACTACAAACTCATCACCTTGCTAGAATTTAGACATTTCACAGAAAAATTCTGTTGTACTCTTCTCACAGTAAAATGCATTTACTCTATGGTTAATTTATATTCATGAAGGTAAAATGTGGGCCTTTACATGCATGTGATGTCTGAAAGTAAACAGGGTGGATCACTTGAGGCCAGGAGTTTGAGACCAGCCTCGCCAACATGGCAAAACTGTCTCTACTAAAAATACAAAAAATAGCTGGGTATGGTGGCAAATGCCTGTAATCCCAGCTACTTGAGTGGCTGAGGCAGGAGAACCCTTGAGCCCAAGAGGCAGAGGTAGCAGTGAGCTGAGATCGGGCTACTGTACTCCAGCCTGGGTGACAGAGTGAGGCTCTTGTCTCAAAAAAAAAAAAAAAAGAAAAATTCTGATTTGATTTATATCTTTGAATGGCCATCCTGACTATGAAAATCTCGTCCACAGTGTCCCCAGAAGTCTTGGTGCCATTTTAAGCTTTCATAACTACAGAAATTCAATTCTAAAAATACACCCAAAAATAATCACTTCAAAATGTATTTAGATTTAAACTTTATTTACGATTGGGAATTCTGAATAAAATCTTTTTAATCAGTTCCTATTTGTCATCTTCAGAGAGACTGAAAAATAATTACAATTTAATTTTTTTTTTTTTTGAGACCAGGTCTCACTCTGTCCCCAAAGATGATGGAGTGCAGTGGCACAATTTCAGGTCACTGCAACCTCGAAGTGCAGGGCTCCAGCAATCCACCCACATCAGCCTCCTGAAAAGCTGAGACCACAAGCACATGCCACCACACCTGGCTAACTTTTTAATATTTTTTACAGAGACATGGTTTCTCCATGATACCCAGGCTGGTCTTGAACTCCTGAAGCTCATGATCCACCCACCTCAGCCTCCCAAAGTGCTGGGATTACAGGTGTGTGCCACCAGGCCAGGCCAAACTTTCAGACAATGCACTTTGTTAAAAGTTTGTAGCTTTTATAACTCATGAAGCTTTTAATTCAAGTGTGGATTATTCTCCCAGATAACCACAGAGCCAGTCACTCACTCTTTCGTGTGTTTACTCAACAACTATGTCCTCTGTGAGGCTTTTCTTGGCCACCCAATATAAAATTTCAACATAAAATTTTGCCCTAGATAGTTCCTATCTCATTTCCTGATTTACATTTTTCTTAGAATTAGCTAACATGTTTTACAAATTTATCTTTCTTTATTGTCTGTTTCTCCAACAATAAAAAACTAGATGAAGGCAGAGATATCTGATCCCCAGCCCCTAGAAGAATATGTGGCACACAGGAGGAACTCAATAAATGTTTACTGAGTGACTCAAACGGGTTACATTAGCATGATCCCAATAATGAAAAAACAAAAATACGCCTATACCTCTATTATACAAAATAGAGGTGATGTTCAAAAGTATATACACATATCTTATCCATACCTACACAGAAGAAATACTGCAAGGAAACATGAAAGTTTTAGTGCTGATATTCAACATGAACTTGTTTATCTGCTCACTAGACAACCTAGCAGATCCTTAATACAAGTAGAACAGCCACAATGCTATTAAACTTACTTGGGCACCTGATCAATCCTATACTGTATCATATTAATGTCAAATCAAGAAATCAAGTATTCACTGGTATCAGACCCCAGAGTATCTAAGGGTATCTCCACCAACCCTAGCCAAATGCTAGTATATTTCTCAGCAGAAAGAATGGAATATTTCATTGATTTTTTTTTCATTTCGCTTAAATAGATCTAGCTAATTTCATAACAAACACATCTCTCTTATCAGAAAAAAACAGATAAATAACTAGTAAGTTATCAACTCACAATTTAATCAAATATTTTAAATAAAACCAAAAATATGAGAAAAGTCAGAGGCTGTATTTCTTGAAATAAATTTCCTGTCATCATCTACTATGCAAATCTTTAACAACAACAAAAAAATTATATACAGTTCTTACTTCTCAGCAGTGTTTTTAAGACCTGCTAATTCCTCCTCTAGAGCCTGCAGCTCATTCTCTTTGATTCTCAGTTCATCCTGAACATCTTTGAGTTCTTGAAACTTGGTTAAAATAGAAGCTGCCTGGGATCGAGCACCTGATAGAGGCAAATTGAAACATGTCCTGCACATTAAGTTACCAGGTATACACTAAACAATAAAAAGTCATCTTACAGAATTATACTCAAAATGATTCATCAGTAAATATTTCAGTGAGCTTATGAAGCCACAGAATTCATTCCATCACCTGAACCTTAGAACACAGAGAACTGATAATAGATCCAAGAAGTTGTGGTAGATATTATTTATTCAAAATAACCACTTGTCTACTGGGCCAATCCTCCACCCTATTGACAATGGAGTTGGCTATGTGATTTGCTCTGGCCAATTAAATGAGGAAATGTGTCTCTTCTGAAAGTAAGCTTTAGGAGGCAGTACGTAATTCAACATTTACTTTCCGTTAGCCATAAGAGAAGTATGTTCAAGACAAGGACTAATTTTTCTTCAGACTGAGTCCTAGAATGAGAACAGCACCGAGCAGAAAGGCAACTGATCTGCAGCAGATGCAGCATAAACATGGAATAAATTTGTTGTAAGCTAAGATTGGGGGGCTGTTACCATGTAATAACCTGATCTAAGTTCTGATACAGTGGAACAAGCAGAGTAAACTGACTGACTTCACATTATGCAACTATAATTATCTGGCAGTGACAGGTGAGGTATTCTGTTGACAAAGAAATGCTGCAGGTTTGATGGAAGAATGCTAAGGTCAATTAGAAATGATGTTTAAACACTCTGTAATTAAAATATGGGGTTACTTATTTCCTATCCTCTTAGTAAAAACTTCAAAAGCATCTGAATCAACAAAATCTAAAAAGTTTCTTCTCTTGTAGATATTGAAAAACAATTAGTCTCTTTTTATCTTCCATTTGCAGATACTAGACATTTGACTGTGTACTAGAGAACCTGATACCTGGTCTTGGAATTCATTGAATTGGCTCTTGTTTCCTTGGCCTAAAAAAACATTTAGTCACTTGATACTTCACGTGGCTTTATACTGTCTACTGGGTTAAAAACACAGACTCTGAAATCAGGCTGCAGGGATTCAAATTCTGAGCCTGCCATCCAGTAGTGAGTTATTGAACCACTCAGTATCTTCGTTTCTGCAACTGTATATTGCAGATGATAATATGCCTACCTCATCGTTGTTACTAAGAATTAATTCTTCTTTAAAGCCCATAGAATAGGGCTTTATAGAATAATAGACATGTTCTATATCTACAATGTCTAATTACCCATTAACCATGTGTGGTTATGGGCTCTTGAAATGTGACTGATACAACCAAGGAAATTTATTTAACTTGATTAAATGTAAACAGTGACTAGTGGCTAGTGACTACTGTATTAGCACAACTGTAGAACACTGTCTGGTATACAGTTAAATATTATTCAGTGTTTCTTATTCTATTGTCTTGACAAAGATCTGCAAACTCAGTGTGGCAAACATTAGAACGAGAAGAATATGATCACTGTCTAAGAATTCCTTTAGGGCATTAAGGTACCACTTTAAGGGCAGATTTAATTTTTTGTTTTTCTTTTGAGAGGAGTAGCAGCAGCACTGGCAAACACACAAATGAGAGGTTAATGTGTTTCCTGAAGAAGTGGGTAGTTAGGCTAAAAATGTACTTTTAAAAAGCCTCTTCCTGTTTACCACATAGAATTGTGAGGACAAAAGGATATAAAACTTACCTCCGCTCAATGTCCCATGAGGATCAAACACATCACCTCCAAGAGTTACAGTTCTAGTCATTATCCTTTTATCAAAGGCCACTTTTTTGGCATTATCCATATTGTCACAAACAAATGTTGTTCCAAAGACAAACTCCATTGCTTTCTGAAGTTCTGGTTTATATTCAACCAGGGAAAGAGCCACATGAACGTTGTCAGGGCCAACCTATGGGACAAAAACAGATACACCACAGTACATACTAATTCTCTTCCTTTCAAATGTTATCTTATAAAGCAGTAAGAACTGCTGTAACAGAAATTTAACACTTACCTAGCATTAAAATCATTTCTGAACTTTCTAAAAAGCTATGTAATACTCAAAAGTTTCAGGAAAAATGCAGGTTTAAATACTGAAAGATCTACTGCTATGTTAAATATTTATTAATAGCTAGTACCAGACATTATGAAAGTTTCTGTCAGTAAGAAGCCATTACCATGTGTCTAAATCCAAAATTGACTGGACAGAACTTCCTTAATTAATACAGTACAGGTTGAGTATCCTTTATCCTAAATGCTTAGAACCAGAAGTGTTTCAGTTTTCAGATTTTGGTATATTTGTATTACACTGGTTGAGCATTCTAAATCCAAAATCCAAAATCCAAAATGCTCCAATGAGCATTTTTTTGGTGTCACCGTTTTGAATTTTAGAAAATTTCAGAGTTCAGATTTTTGGACTTGGGGTGCTTAACCTGTAATTCTCAGATCAACACAAGTATATAAAAATGTTGTTTCTATAATCAGTAATTTGGTTTCACAACAAATATATTTTCATACAAATGAAACATGCTAGAGCAGTGGTCTGCCAGTTATAGAATTAAAAACACAACTAATAATTGAGAGAGTAAAAGTTATTTTAAAAAATCCCTCAATCCTTTATTTCGATCACAATGCTTCTTCTCAGCCTTTGTCTATAGAGGATACCTCTGCCCATCATTTTAGAAAAACTAAGCATCTCTTTTAGAGCTTAGTATCAGCAGTGGCAATCACAATGAAAGGAGCTCTATGTAACACATGTTCCGTATTGTTCTTTGATGTGGCAGCTACCATTAAATAGATCTGGCTCAGGGATCTGAGGCAAAGTATTTTTGCTGTTACTTGAAATCCCAATTTTCTTCTAACGCTGGGACTTGATGTATGGCTGAATTAACTTCCTGAGCCTTCTTGACTTAATGGTGATTTTTCAAGTAAAGGAAATGCCAACCAAAAACACCACTTTTCAATTACACGCACTCATCCTCCCTCTCCCGATAGTATATATATCAACACAACTGTATTTTGAAATCATTTTCATTGAAATCTTCTGAATTTCACTAAGGATATGATATTCAATTAGTTACAAGTGTATTTCTAAGTTTCATAGAAATGTCTTCAACTCATGTACTTGGGATATCTACTCAATAAAAAATTCTCATTGCAGCTGAATGTTATGACTGACTTCATGTTTTTACAGTATTACACAACTACAATAACTTTCAAATGTATTTCCTTGTACTAATCTATTTTCTTACTAGCAAGGATGTCACTTCAGATCAGCGTCAGCAGTTGAATGGGATCCGGGTTACGTGCTATATACCTACACAGGCTGAACAGCAATCTAGTACTCTAATAAAGAAGCATCATTGCAATACTAATGAAGGCCTTCCAAAATGGCTGTCGCTGTGGGCAGTTTAAGTGTGCCTGACATAAAAAGAGACAAAATCCAAAAACTTGGATATTTATCTAGAAGCTCAATTCTAACGTATTTAGGAAACAGAAGTGTAATTTTCACCATCACCTGATAGTCATGTGACTTAAGATTTAAAAAGGACATTCTAATATCACACTTTCAAGTATCAAAGATAGTTCAAGTCTTTCAACATTTCTATTCTCTCGTTATCTAATTGCACAACCCAACCCATTTTTTTTTAAATTTTGTAGTTCTTCATATGATTATGTCCCTCAAAATTAATGCCTTCTAACTTAAATAAAAAACACAGAAGAAGATTAAACATAAACAAGACAAAATAAGACTTACAAGATTCTGAGCAACTCTCAGAGTTTCTGGTGCAATACATCTGGCTGAAATTTTATTGAGTGGAATTATAGTGTATCGACGTTTCAGTTCCCCTCTTTCTAGTAGCTTTTTACCAGTAACCTAAGACACACATTTGAAGTTTAAAAAATACATGTTAAACATGACAGAAAATTAAAAGAATGAAAATTTAGTAGTCTATAATAAATAAATATTTAGTGCCATTTATCCCAAACCATCAAAGTTAAGATTACATATGCAGAGACGATCCAAGATGGCCGTTTAGGAACAGCTCAGGATTGCAGCTCCCAGTGAAAGCGCAGAGGGTGAGTGGACGCTGCGTTTTTATTGCCCACAGACTAGGAAATTCCCGGGCAGAGGTGCTCCACGGTAGCCAGCGCGGCTGTTTCGGCCAGCGCCGCTGCTTTGTCGGCGCCCCGGAGCCACGGTTCTCCGTACAAAATACACCGG